GAACACCTACCCTGAAGCCTGAGATCTCATTCCAGGCTGTATGAACGGGTGATTATCAATTGGATAAAGGAGCCTATAAAGATCAAGTTACGGAATGTCACAACAAATGATATGACTGTCAGCTTCTATCATATTCAATATACTGCAAAAAGAAATAGCTGAAGAGTATGTTATGAAAGCAGAACTGCAAGAAGATAGAAGTTGCAAATTGTATAGCAGTCATCTCATCAAAACAAAACATGGATCTTCAATCAAAATCACCCTTGAGAAGGAGACAGATTGGAGAGAGATTATCACTTTTTTGAAGAAGTTATATAAGGAGAATATGAGCAGATTTAGTATCAAGATTACCACCTCTTTTAATCTTCTTGATATCTCAACTCTATTTTCAAACAACTCTGTAATACGCGGTCCTGCAGCTTTCATTGGAGTGTCAGATTCCCAATTAACAACCCAGGCATTGGCATCAAAAAGAGCATTAGATGTCAAAGAAGAAGTAATCTCACCATCTGCCAAATCCCCTCTCTATCATCCTGCCAAATCCCCTCAAATTCATGAAATATCCGATGATGAAAAGCTGCCGCCTACGCATACAAAATCCACGGCCACTAGCCAGCAGCTGAAGAAGGCTCAAAATTGACAGTCAAATGAGCATGATTCTTTGTGGATTGAGCGTGAGATAACTGCTCACTGGCATTGTCAAAAGATGAATTGTCATAACTTTGAGCAGGGTACTTGTTGAATAGCTTTTGATGATACTCATATTCAACTCCTGAGTAGTGAGATTGCCAGTTGGATAGATGATGTTGAGTGTGGACATGCAACAATTAAAAATCCCTCAAGAAAGATGATAAAAAGATTAATGAATAGAAAGAAGAAGAAGAAACAAAAAAGTGAATCTATCTCTGCTTCTAATCCTTCTATACAGACACCTCAGATGCCAGCAATTATATTTCCTTTCTCAACTCCTTCTTCATCTAATATTGTGTCTCCAAGTGAGATAATCAATGTGATGGTGATGAAATATATGATGGAAGGAATGGGAGGGATGGGAGGACTTAATTCAAACTTGTCATCGAATTCAAACTTGCCATCAAATCCGAACCTGTCATCGAATCCGAACCTGCCTCCTATTTGAAGTAGTCCAATCCCTCAGTTTGGTGAACACGCGGATCTGTTTATTGATGAGTTCTTCAACTGATTGATGACAGAGAGACCTCAAAGAGCAGAAGCTCTTTTAACTGCAAAGAGCATTATTCAGAATGAAGAATTTGAACTGAATCATATACAAATAATGACAAATGAGCAGGTGGTTCAGTTGAATATTGAAATGAATATATTCTTAATAATAAGAAATGAGTTAAAGAGTTCTATCTGACAATCACAGTTGAAGGAAATTAAATTGTCTTTATCTGCTGTTTATAATGATGACAGCAGATCTCATACTGCTTCTGCTTCTGAATTTGAAACTTAGATATTATATATCATAATTGAATTGCAATCAGAATCTTTTTAAATTTTACAATATTATTTTATATGAGCAGATCTGAAATATCCTCTTGCATCTTCTTCTTTCATGAAATTCTCAACTGCATGATGCAAGAAGGCTTCAAAATCTTCATCAAACTGATTCTCTAACTGACATCTGTATCTTCTAATCCATTCTTTCAACGCGTGAAATGACTCCTCTATAGGATTATAATCAGGAGAATATGGAGGTAAGAATAAAAGTCCAATGCCAGCTTCTCTGCAGAGATCTCGCAGTGCTTGTGAACGATGAGAAGAGCAATTATCCATCACTAAGTAGTGATAACCTTGTTGACATTTGAGCAGTATCCGAACACATACAAACTCATTGAACCTCTCTGTATTATAGAACCTCTGATATATATCATAATTAAGATATTCATCAACATTTATGCAGATAAGATTGATCATCTGCAAGATTGTTTACAGAGCCTTCTAATGCAACAAAAGAATCCTCTGCTTGACCATCCATATTGTCAATCTGCAGTACATTCATTCGCAGCACTCTCATCTAAAAAGATAAGTTGATCAGGTTGATACTGAGTAACTTAATACATCATTCAACTTGAAGTTCTTCATTGCATTGACTGGTCACAGGTTCAACCTATATCAAATAGAACTGACAGATTAGCAGGTTCTATAAGTGACAATTGCAATAATTAATCACCTTCTTCCATGTCAAATTCAGTTTCTTCAACAATCTAGATATCGATCGAGGGTGGATATCAACATCAAATTCATCCTTCACAAAGCAGACAGCCTCATCGCGATATGCAGTTGGATATGCCTCAAAAAAGTCCTCCAAACCTGACAAGATATCCGGTGTGATCTTTGGCTTTACACCCCATGTTGAATGAGGACTTCTAGCAGTTTCAAAGCAGCGAATATTTCGTTGGATTCGATATACAGTGGCCAGATGGCACTCAATGGTCCGCGCAATCTGAGCAGGCATATAACCATCGTTTAGAAGGCGTACGATCTCATTGATGGTAAATTCACTGAGCTGGGGGGGCATATTGGCAGATTTGATGATAAAGGTGCGTATTTGAATGAATTGGATGATATTTGAATGATTTTAGAGATACGTGGATATTTTGGTTATTTCTGCGGTGTTTTGCTACTATTTTTCAGGGGGTGGGCAGAAAATTCTGTTTTCGCAAGCTTTACGTCCGCCACAATAACGGAAACTAGTTTTGAAAAATATAATGCACACTCAATTTACAACAAAACAAAACATCAGGGACAATGGAAACAAAAGGGAAGCACGTCATTACGAACTTGGTTACCTCAGTGCCAAACTCAGCATTTGTGAGTACAAACCCATGTCGCGCGCCGTGCTGATCCATATAGAAATTCACTTGGCCAAAGCCTACTTATATTCTCGTCGATCAGCCAGGTTTTGGGAACCGGTCAATGGGGAAAACCGCAGGCCCTCCACCATCCAAGGCGACAGACAGAAGCCGTTGAATCAGGGGG